GGCGCCGGTAAGGTGCTTGGCTCGGCGTTCTGAGAGGGAGGCGAGGGGCCGCGCGCAGCTCGTGCGTGTCCGAGGACAAGCTTAACACGCAGACGGGTGGCGGCCCAGCCATTTTCCCCACCGGCGGGAATATCACTTCCAACTTTGTCTCATTTACCAACTTTTTTACTGCATATTTTCGGTGAAGTCGTGAGCAGTTTTTGGGACACACCGCTTACAAAGTATAAGAAATATTTTTCTCAATTAGTTATTTTTGCATCGCAAACTAAAAATCAGTTCTCCTAGGAGACCTTGAAATACGTCAAAGGTGTTTCTTTGAGCTTAATTTTGGGAGAGCAATACTATAATTCTTTAATTTCTGTAAGAAAGAAATAACTAACTCATTACGTCTATAATAATAATAATAATAATATATTATTATTATAATTATTATTACTATTATTGTTATGTCCAAAGAATCCCAGAAGTACATACGCAGAAGGTGAAAGTAGCTCGGACTTCAGAAGTCAGTGTGCTAGTCACGCATTAAGGTCTAGAATTCTCAGATGTTTCGTCTGGTCACATAGCGCCCCAAAAATTCCTGGGACAACATGAATCTATCGTTTCTGGAGTATTTTCAGATCGATCTTTAGATCACTATTATTCCATTATTTATTTTATCTCCTGGTTTACTCTGAATCTGGGGGGTCGTCTAGACACACCACCTACTCTTCAATGGCGGTGAGATCTGTCATGTTATGATCCAACCGAGTGGTCTGTCTGGATTTTGAAATTGCTGAGGGTTTTAGTTTTTGAACACTTAGACCGGGTTGTTCTTCCAACATTGCGACTGCAAGCCATACCTTCTGCACAGATTCCAGAATATAACGGTGACCACTGCCGCCGCGTTGTTAGTAATCTCTCTCTGCAATTTTACGGCAGGCGTTGGTTAGATGATTGCATTGTCTAGTTTTTTGCACAGTCTGGACTTGCCGTTCACGGTAGTCTTCTCTACTTTGAACGGCCTCAGGACCGAAATTATAATCAAAAGTTAAGGAATATGTGACTCCTAAAATGATCAGTGATTACTAAAACTAATAAGTGATTTAAAAGGATATTTTTAAAGATGTTCCTCATGAAAGCGAAATGGGCGCTTCCTAAAGTGACTGGAATTATGACGTTTCATTTACAGAAGGTATTTTCTAGTGTGTAGTGACCATTAAGTGTACCATTCACACACAATTTATTTCGAAAAAAGAGTAATTTGAGCAGGTATTTGTTGCCATGCACACATTCCAGTCTTTTCTGGGAGTTCTGTTATTGAGGTGAAAGTTATTCTATCACGACGGATATTGATGGAGAGTGGCCTGTACGCCCAGCTCCACTGCAATGTCACTACTAAACACAAAAACACATCGCAAATCGTGCGTGAAATACACTCGTATATATCGGCGACCCTATTTCCATTTCAGAGTTTCCGTAGAACTTTAAGTCATCCATGTTAAGGACGTGAGATATATTAGGGTTCGTTTCCGATGTTTGTTACCAGTTTCTGGTCGTGGGTAGGACTTTTGTGAGGGGTGTTATAAAAGGCAGGGAGGATAGAAAGTCTTCTTGGCATATCCCTCGCAGTTGAATTGTACCTCCAAAGTAGCTAAAATACGCCTTTCCAGAGAATGAGGATACATGCTTTGAGAATCTTCAAGAACTTTTGACTGAGTGGCAGACAGTCACATGGATTCTTGCTGTCTTTTACGGCGACATGCAAGTTTGTCAGTTGTCGTTTTACGTCTTGTAGGATTATCTTGTCAATGTTTTATTCCTGCGGATTGTTTGCAATTGATTTTTTACTTTCTGGAATACCTGTATTCACAGAGTAAGTACCATAAAAAATTAAAAGATTTCTTTCAAATTTATAGGATTCTCATTGCGAATATTGATTGGATACTATTGGGGAAAATTCTGTTAAATACTTTGGCGCTAACATTGTTTAAAGACATACAGACGTTATAAAAACACCACTTTTAATTTTGGAAACTCTAAAAACATGTACATCCGTCGAAATATCGTCGTAGATTTTTTGAAGCCTTACAATATTTTTCCAATGAGAGAAAAACTATCTATTTGAAGAATTAATAATAAAACTAATTCTACTGAATCGGGAGATTCGTGTTCTTTTTCAATTCTGAATAAAAAGAGAAAGAGGAAAAACAGAATCTGATCTCGACAGTTTCAGTGAGAGAATGATTCGCCGCACAATGATTTTATTTACCATTCCAAAAAATCGTTTTTTTCACGGAAACGGCGCAAACTTTAGTAATGACAGTGACAGTGATGAAAGTTATGATAGCGTGAAAACTTGTATCAGTGTCAGTGGAAAAATGTAGATGATGTGAGCAGAGTCGGGCCATCAGGAGAAGAGAGTGTTTCTCCGCTACCAAACGAAGACACTAAAGCAAATTAATTTCCAAGTAAGATAGCTAGCACGTGCGGTGCATTAGGCTAATGTTTTTGGTATGGGCAGACGCGAGCGAGCGCCCCTTCTGGCTCTCTCCCCACCACTTTGAGCTTCCCCCTCGCGAATCCCAGCGGCAACACTAGAAAAAATTAGCTGTGCGTATACGCAAAAGTAAACATTTGGAGTACTTTTGAGAATATTTTTTAAATTATCCCAATCCAACTCTTCTTTCTTTAGTGAAGAACTTCGTTCAGCAAAGAAAGGGAGGGAAATTTGAATATCCAATTTCGAAGATTTGCAAAATACGCAAACCTACTCATACCAAATCATTAAAAAAAAAGAGAAAAAACAAACAAACTCTACTCATATCAGTTCAAAAAAAAGTACAGTAGTTTATTTAAAAATCTAATTTTGAGAAACTTATTTCAGTAAGTACAAATCTCTATCATCAATATTGTAGTTTAGAAAAATTAATTTTTCGCAATTTTTGAAAGTAGAGAGTGTTTACCGATAATGGGTTCTGTGCCATTTTATTAGCGAACTTTGATGTTTAGAAAAAATAATTAAAGAAAAAAATTGAGCATTGAGTAATAATTTTCAAAAATGTTCTCGTCATTACTTAAAGAACTAAATGTGGGTGAACACTTTCACTTGAAAAACTCTAATTCTTCAATAATACAGTTGTACAGGAGGTTCAATAATGTAGTCCCTAAAACATAACTAAAGTTTTGCCATTTTCAAAAATTCAGAGTTGACGGTGAAAAACGGTCTTAAGTCACCTTTATAAATGTACTTCACTCTATTATGTCTATTATATCTCACACTCTATTATATCTATTCAAGGGCCTCGAATCGGGCCAAGTAGATTGATGAAACTTAACTTTGGGGAAACACACACACACACACACACACACACACACACACACACACACGCACGCACGCACGCACGCTCGCACGCACGCACCTCCGCCCGCACCCCCACACACCCACCCACACGCCCCTTGGAAAGATTTAGGCGCTACTGTTGCTCACAGGTAGGCAAACGGACATTTTGAACGGGTGGCGTTTCAACTCGCATTATTTGTAACTTTTGCCATTTCTAAAAATTCAACGAATGCAAGGGAATTTAATCCAGCGCTATTTTTAGTGTCCTTCACTCTATTCAAGGAAAAATTTGGATGAAAAATCTGGACCCTTTTTGAAAAAAAACCTTTGTTAAAACACGACTATATTTATCGCAAAATTACTCCCAAACACATACTTATGAGAGACTTTATTTAAAGATGTTTGAAAAACACGTTTTATTAAGGAAAATCTCTTACTTTAATTTTGTAGTTGCAGGAAAACGCCCAAAGAATTTTGACCATTAGCAATATTCGAAAATTCAGTTGATTCTACGAAATTAAGACCAGCACCATTTTTAAGCGTCTTTTACTCTATTCGAGGATAAATTTGAAGAAGTATCTGGAGTCGTTTTGGGGAAAATACTTTGTTTAACTTATCTATATTTCTCGGAAAATTACGCAAAAACTACTCAAATTTCCAGAAAAGGGCATCTGGCATTATTTACAGAGCATAAAGAACGCTTTTTATTAAGAAAAATTTAACTTTAATAGTGTAGTTGAAGAAAAATTGTACATTTTGATTCTTCTAATTTTTATTTTTGTGCTTCTTTTTTTCAATAACTGCCATCGAGCGTACGCTCACTTACCATAACAATTATTATTATTATTATTATTATTATTATTATTATTGTCTTACATTATTCACAGTATCTACTGGTCGGAGTGGTATCTTCTGGAGTGAAGGCAATTTTGAGAGCTGTGTAGATTTATTGAGAAGCTACAATACCTCAAAGCCCTCTTGCGACCTTGGGAAGGGTAAAAACGCCTCAGTACTTGAATGCCGGATGATGTTTTCGGTGTTTGAGTCCATAGCGTTTTGAATTTCTCTGGAGGTTGTCTGAGGTCGTATTGCTCCAATTTAATAAACGCAAAAGGAGTATGTCCAGCACTGAATAACAAATGAATTGATGCCTGCACCATAGGTTTCTAGCAGAGCGAGTGAGTTTTTAAGAGGCCCATGTAACTTCGTTTACACACTTCATTTGTTAGGTATATTCTTTAGTAGTAACAGTAGGTTTGATTCAGAGGCACTGTTGCGAAACCCAACTATTCGTCCAAGTTTAGCATCGGGTCCTATGAAGGAAATCTTTGCGATTCATATCAGTTTCCCAAATTTATAACTAGCATAAGACCCCGAAATGATATTCGCTCTCCTGCACCTTATCCAAACAAATTTCATTTAATAAAGCCATCACTGTCTGGCCAAATCCAGTTATCGTGCTGGTATCAAAAAGCTGGCTTTGGACAATTTCCACTGCGGTGGGATGATGGTTCACACAATTAGAGCGATATCTCCGTGAACGGCGACAAATCCATTCCAGTGTTCACAATGCCACTCATCATCTGGCGTGTGGGACACAGCAGATGACCAGAAATAAAGGGGCTCAACAAAAGGGTCCTCTAGTGTTCCGTTCCTTTGAGCGGGGAAGCATTGACTCAATCCATAAGTCATCTGCCCAAGCCCTCCTTAGCCCTTAGACACAGTACTGCCTAGTAAGATGCGTTCTGGTATATCTGTTAAAAGGAGAAATTTCTGTTGCTTCCTCGTTAGATGCCGAGATCCGCACGCGAATCCGCTAGGCGTCGAAGGCGCTGTTGGAAACGCAACCAAGATTATATGTGTCGGAGGATGTCAAGTGTGTTCGTATTGTGGGAATGTCAGGGCTCGTGCTTCGTAAATGAGATTTTGGTGTGATTGACTGAGGGATGTGTTATTCACCTCTTGCTAATCTCTCAGCCTTTTTCTTAGAGATACATGTTCCAATTTTAAAAGTTGGGTGTGAGCATCCTGCAACCAATATCTCCTCCCTAGCTGCTTTCGTACAACCTCAAAACCAGCCGCTCTCCCAAGAAGGGTGGCATTCAATAGGTTCTTAGATATTGACATTCATAATAGGTAGTATTGAAAGTCAAAATATGGTATTGATTAGTATTATTATTATTATTATTATTATATTATAAAACGGGCGAAAATCATATTTTGAAAACAACTTGTAATTTTCACGCAAAAATTCAGGACAGAGTGTGAAAATGGAGACAACCTAGCCATCACATGCTTCTAATAACAGAGTCCGGTTGTCTCCTATAAAAACAGCTAACAAAATTTAGCACGAACCACGACCACCGTATTTTGTAAAAATGTGAGACTCACGGGATGTACCAACCACAGAAATCAAGAAACCTATTCGTGGCAACCTGTACTGACGTTGCTTTGTCCCGGCCATACAGACAATTTGTTTCGGTAGTCGAAGAGAACCCATTA